ATTAGTATTTGGAAGAATTGAAATGAAAGGGAATTAGTATTTGGAAGGGTTGGGATGAAAGGGAATTAGTCTTTGGAAGAATTGGAATGAAAGGGAATTAGTCTTTGGCAAGGAGGCCAGAGGATGGGGTTGACTAATAGGGGGGGGTACCCCACTATTAGACGGGGGTAGGGGGTGTATGGGGGGTAGCCTTTCTGAGCTTCTTAAATTGAAGATTTTGATAGAGTTTTAATAAGGGAAAATAAAAGAATTTTCCTAGAGAGTTTTTGGAAATTCTAGGAAAACTGTTGCTTTGGGAGAGCATTGGTAATCAATCAGAATGGCAAAACATAAAACAAAACTAATTAAACACATATATATATTGTAATAATTATATTTTTCCTGGGGGGACAGGGGGTAGACTAATAGGGGGGGGGTTCAGCCAAGAAAAAGATTTATTAGAGGGTGGTGACTGTGGAAATTAGTAGTTCAAATTAGTTTATTATTGGGGCCTGAACGCTGGGTAGACTAATAGGGGGGGGGTTGCCTAATCCTATGTTGGCATTAATCCTTGACATCTTCAGCTCCCCCATGCGCCGAACCACCCGCCTTTCACCCGCCACACACCCCGCCGGTGCGTCCGGGTACCGAGGTGCCTGAGCCTTTGTGCACAAAGGCCACGCTCTCGCCGCCGGTGCACAGGAGACAAAGAGACGAGAGTTGTCAGAGAGTCGCGTGGCTGTCTAAGACTGCAGGAACTACAACATACAAGGGCACCTACAAGGGCAAGGAAAGGCATACAAGGGGTTTACATGGGTTTACCATTTTCTTCCCATGTTCCCAATATTCTCCTTTGGATGGTCCAGTTCACCGTTATATAACCGCTTTAAATGCAATGGATCCTCGGATCAGTTTCAAAGGCAAACGGAAGGGTAGTGCACAGAAAGGGTTTTGCAAAAACCGGTTCTACTAACGTCGTGGAAGGCGCGTGACCTTCGTAGAACCCAAGGCTGTTCGTGGACAGTTCGTGGAACGGTGGGCCAGTAGGAGAACTGACTGCAACGAAATCCCAGAAACCTTCGCAGAACTTCGTGGAAGGTATTTTTGATGCACTAACTTCGTATAAGCGATTTTTGCTGACCCCCTTTCTCCACACACCCTCCGTTTAGCCTTCACAGTTGCGGATCTCGACCGAGCGCTGCAGGACATCGAGGCGGGTGACGTTCACGATGATTCGCACGGGATGGTCGCGGCTTACAACCGGATGGGGCACAACTTCAGCAGTGGCTCAGCAGAAACTGTCATGTACCAGGGCCCCCTGTGCAGTAGGTGGTTAATGGTCATCCCTTAACTTCTAAGGAGCTATAATTATTATAGTTGGACACCCTTAGGAGGCCCTGGTATACAACGTATACCAAAGTTCAAGCTGCCCAATATCTATATCGCAGCTCAACACATGATGTCAGACGCAATGGGTATCAATCGGTGCACCGTGACTTTGCAGCGTTTGGCCACACTGCAGTCCGGTCCACCGTCCGACTGCTCAGGAAAGCGCGGCGATTGACCAGCTCCTGAATACGCACCGGGCGCTCCTCCTAGATGGAGGCGAGGGATGAAGCCAGGAAACGATGGATTCTCCGACGGTGAAGGAGATGAGATGAGTATAAAGAGAAAGACACACAGGAGTTCCGAAGGCGTGGTGACTAGACTAGACCCTACATGAGCCGATGAAAAGGCTCCTGATGTTTAAATATGACACGGAAGATTGCAGGACTAAACTTTGAAAAAAGGGTATCAAGACGTCAAGACCAGGTTTGCTTGCAAAGCATTTCTCAATTATGCATGCTGCATGCACTTGTAATACATAATCATATTCCCTTGTTTTCTTCACGGAAAAGGCAGAGTTGGGATCATCAAGAGAATCAAAAGGTGATCTGTCACTTTAACCATTGTGCATTCTGGCATGTTCATGCAGTTTTTTGGTTTTAGTTATTACTATTCCTGTAACACGTTTTGAAATGGCAAGAATCAAAATCAGTTCAAATGAGCCCCTCAACGCTCGGGCTCAAGTCGCTTGAGAACCGCGCTGCAGGACGTGCCGAGGTGGGTAGTGAAGCTGGCTACAGTGCTTTGAGCTCGCAGGGGGGGAAAACGAGCTGGTTGGATGGGAAGCAGTCAACTCTGAGACAGCTGCAGCTACCGGCTGGCGATGGGGAAGAACAGAAACACATGAGTTTCTGTAAAGAAGGGGAAGAACATTTTCCCCAGCAGTTGCAGAACTTGAAACATGTCACCTCGTTGGGAAGATCAAAAAGGCGTCCCTGTTTGGATTTGACGCCCTCAACAAAAACCCGCGAGTTAAGTTACGGGGGGGGGTCCCACTTGATTGATCCCTGAAAATCCAAGCACCTTCTCAGAAGGTACGACTGGATTCTCCAAACCTACTAGCTGCTTCTTGTTCCTAGTAGTAATGCCAGGAGCTACTAGTAACTAGTAGCGTCCTTGCTGCTAGTAGCGATGGCTTCCAACCTAATAGCGATGGCATCCACCTAGTAGCTTCTTGTTGCTAGTAGCAGCAGCTTACATAACAGTGTCTCCAATCACCTTCTCAGAGGGTGGGCAGTGGATCGTTTGGGAATGATCACTTTGCCTTGATATTTGAGTCCCAGTGGTCACAGGACCTCGTCGGCTTGAACACCAGAGTCTGCCGAGCGAGGTCACATCGTGACGTCACGGGGTGGACCAATGCTTCCATATATGTGTGTTTGTTGTTCCTAATAGCATGCTTTGGTTTTCAGCGGTCAATGGAGTTCCACCCAATTCTTATCCATGATCCACAAAAAGCTCCAGTTCACTCCATTGATTCGAAGCCTATAGAAGTCTTTGACTTCATCATTGGGGAGCATCAGACGTGAATTGGAGAATAAAAGGCAACCACCGCCTCGTGCGAGTCCAGCAATAGCTGAGGCCGCCGCGGTTCGGTTTTCGGGTCGTGCCGATCGAAGCGATGTCAGCCCAGGTGCTTGCGCCATTTTCCTGAGCTCCGTAGAGACCGCTGCGAAGACCTTTTGTCTTGAGGCGGCAAGATACTCCGTTATTGATTGAAGATACTCCGTCATCACATAAGTTCACAAAGCTTGAAGGCGATCCTGCGATCAGTATTGGTGTCAAGTTGTCACAACTCGCTTTGTCCCTGCCTGCTTTTGGGTTCTGCGCGGTTGCAGCTTGCTTGCATCCCTGGACCGCTCCAGCTGCCGAAAATAAAACTCATGCAGAGTCCAATGCCAACCACCTCACTCTTTCTTGGAACCCCTCCGTCATCTGACCAAACCGCGCCCGTCATCTGACCTCTCGACCGGTCTCTGTCCTCGGTGCCAGGCGGCGCCCCGTGGATACCGAAAGAAATTCTCGGCCAATTATCGTTCGGGCCGCCCAGACCGTGAGGTCGGAGGTGAGATCGGTTTTTCGGCAGAAGCATGGGGCGAACGGGGTTTGGGCCGAGTTCAGCGGGGTTTTCAGGTGTTTGACTTCATGACCCGTGCTAGTTTCAGGAAGAGAGAAAGTCTTCCGAGTTGTACGTGTAGACCTTTAACCTTTATTGACAACTCCCTTGAGTTGCAGTGGTTGAACAGTAACAAGAAGCTACTAGGGGCTCCTGGCATCGCTACTAGGAGCAAGGACGCTACTAGGGGCTCCTGGCCTTACTACTAGGAGCAAAGGACGCTACTGGTCCGCACCGGAAGACTAGGTCAATTTGTCGGATCTTAGCGGAAGATGCACCGAGTGAGTCATTTGGTCCGCGAAAGAGCGAGGTGCACTCTTTCCAGATGATGCGCGACACTATCGCGTTGATGTACTTGAAGCATGGCGCCCAGAGACCAGAGACTTTGTTTGATCAGGGACGGCAGGCTGGCTGACTGGACACATCCATCTAGTGAAGATGTATATCAGATATCATGTCATTAGAGTATCGAAGTATATCATGTGTACATAAGGGTCTTTCGGTGAAGCTCGCTGTCGGTCTGAGGCAAGTGCAGACCAACACTCTGCAATTTGGGTGAATGGAGACAAGTTTGAGCTCAGCCCAGAGGCCTGCGAGCGCCGAAGGTTCTTGCAGGGTGTGTAACGCAAACATTGATGACTATTGTATACTTTTGTTGGGTTCCGCAGTTTCGCCAAGTTTGGTTGCAAACCCACCAAGCCGATAGAGCATCATCACAGCAACATGTACGCCATTGTTTGCGTAAATGATGTCAGTGCTGATGGGCAAGATCCCATTGTCAATCTTTGGTCTAGAGATGAGATGCAATGTTTCCTGAGCGTAGCAGCAGGCATTAAGGAGAACAAATAGTGGCAATTAAGTGTCCACTGAACGGTGGTGGATGCCCATGCTGCTGCAAGAGTTCTAAAACAAAGTTTGACTTGAATGGACATGTTTAATTATTAATTCTGTCAACTCCTATGATCGATGAACTATGAACAGGGTGAGTTTTGACTTCATCTCCCGCATGTTCCTTGCGATAACCTCACTGCGCACCCTACTGGGTGCCTTTTTCGACACGCTTTGAAGCGTATTGAGTTTGAAGCCTGATGTTGGTCACCATACATGATGTGATATGTTTTGGCTTTTACCTTGTGGTTTACCCTAGCCTGCTAGGCCATTTGCCACGCTGAAGCTTTGCAAAAGGCCAGGTTTTTTTTTCGTCTCGGGCAAGTTGTTTGGTACTTCAACTATGCTCCGATTCCGACTAAGGCTCAGCTGATGATTGGAAGCTTTACAATGATTGCTCAATGGAAATGCCATAGAGTCGGATTCAGAGATGGATTATTATTTCATACATGTTCTTCTTGCAGCCGATCTCATGGCGACTTTCGAAGCCTGCCTTTCGCAGGCGGTGTTTTTTCAATGCCTGCCTTTTGCGTCGCAACCGGCCAGGCATGGAGTGATCTCACGCAGCTTCTCGAAGCTTGCAACTCGTCAGATGGCTCACGGCATCCAGCTCCTTGTCTCCGAAACGGCCGGCTCGTCCTGGCGGCATCCGGAGCGGCTCCAGGTGAGCTGGTCCAGCGGCCACCCGCTTGTTTGGGACAAAAAACGCAACAAAGAACCTCTTTTTTGTGGGATGAACTGTGGCAGGGCCATTCAACAAAGACATAACCCTGCATGAAGCCAGCTCATGGCAGCTGATTTCATTGCTTTGCTAATGTTGCCATGAGTTGCACCATCATGTTGCATTTGGTTCATGTTGCTAACATTTGGGGAATAACCCTGCAGCGCCGTTGTTTTGAAATACTGGACTTGTTTCAACGTTTTGCTTCCAAAATGCTTCCAACATGGGGATCCATTTCAACATTTCAGAGGTGTGAGTGTGTGTGTGTGCTTTGTGTTTGAAAGTGATATAACTGCCCAAAAGAGCATCCTTCTTTGGGAGCCCAAGGATGTCTTGGACTTCTGTTTTTAGTGTCGGAGCTCCAAGACTGCCACTCGAACCCTGTCCTCAGGGCCGATCAGAACTCTGTGCGGTTTTGGATTCCTTGGACGTGGCCTGGGCGGGCTTCGAACACAAGCCGCTCGATGTGCTGTCGACGGCTTCGCTTCGAACACGGATGCCGCGAGGGGTTCGGAGCAGTTCGCCCAGCGGGCGGGGATGCCGCGTCGAGTCGACTTGTGTGTTGTTTTGGGTTTAAGCCAGCTTGGTTTTGGTTGGATGCTTGTGTTTGGGGGAGCTTCCGGGCCTTCGAGGATTGGCATTCACCGGGCTTTGCAGCATAATGGAGACATGGGCGCGGGTTTGCTCACATTCTCTGAAACAGGGACAGTGTTGTAAATAACGTGCTATGTAACACTTGCTGCAGCTGCAAACTCCATAGTGCTAGGTCATCGTGTTCGAGTTTTGGTAGGACGACTATTCCCCAATGTTTCCTGCAGAGTCTTTTGCACCCAGTGTTTACAGGAAGACTGACGGTTCTGCATGTTTTCACGTCAGAGGCCTTGTCAAGCCACGCTGGCAGTTGCGATCGCCACATTCAAGTCTTCCAAGTGAGGTACATCGCTGAGCTGATCGAGATCGAGGAACAAGCACGAAGGTTGATCATCAAGGCCTCTTTCATATGGTTTTGTAGTACGTATAGTCAACCACAAGACGTCTAAGACTCAAGTCGCTTTTGTGTTTCGAGGAGCCTGTCGACAAATGACTCCACGGGACAACACTTGTCGAATTTCCACATGCAAATCTTTGAGGCAGTAGAGCTTGAGGCCAGGTTGTCCCTGGTGGAGGACCTCTTCTTGCTCGAGGGGAGAATGAATATAATATGAATTAATTAATCCCTGCAATCAGCAGGAGTAACTTCTTCGAGCCAATAAGTAACTGGCAGATCTAGCAGGAATATGCAGCGCCTTTTGTTGATTTTTGATGATTTTTGCTTGAATGGCCTCAGAAGACCATGTTACATGCTTTTCCTCACATGACATGAGTCTTGCTCATGCTTTGCTGCCTTGAAGCAGTATGAAGTGCCATGTCAAATGCCTCACACTTTCCGGAACTTTCAATGTTTTCTCCGAGCAGACTCACGAGGACTCTCCTCAGAAGGGCAAGGAATGCCACGAGCTCCAACGAGCGCTAGTGCCACACGGCTTGGGATTCGAACGGACGGAACCTCGCGCGCCGAAGGGTAGCACCGGTTACAGAAGTGATGTGACTTCGATTCATGGGATACAATGAGTATGATAAACCTCACGGGACGCACTGATAGCCTCCCAGTGATCGGCATCCCATTGGATGCCTTCGCATCCAACCCAGCCAACCGGGCCGCCCAAGCAGCCGGGCAGTCACGGATTTCTTCGCTGCTCCGGGTGGTGTTGGCCAGTCTGAAGCATGTCAAAACTGGCCAAGGCAAGGCATTGCGCATCTCAACTCAGTGGCCAACTTTCGTCGCAAGGGGCGAGACGATCTAGGCAAGCGCCTGAGAATTCGAGGCCTTTGCGCCTGAGATTTCGACCATCTTTTGTCCCATAAGTTTGGGTGTTTTGAAGTATGTTGATCCCTTTCTATTGTCAAGACTTCAAGGTAACTGTGTGGAGCAGAGACACCAGAGACCCTGAAGTTGTGCCATGTCACGCTAGTGTTTTGCAAGGCTTTGACATTCTGGAAAGTGTCGCGCACTTGGATGTTTGACACATGCAATGTGCACACAATTTTCAGAGTCCTGTTCAGACTGTGTAGATCGCACAGTTTCCTGGACGCTCATGGACATCCACGTTCCATGGTGCATTGATTGATTGGGTTTTACCTCCAAAATGTGTCAATCAGTCGGTGACGTTTGCTCCTCATGCAGGTTTTAATAAGATTTGCGTTTGCGATCACATGCATGAGTTGTTGCTGCTCCTTGAGATGCAGTGGAAAATGCTGCCTGGCTGATGAGGCAACAGAAGTGCTGATTAAATTTGGTCTCAGCAGCACTTGGCTCAGTCTTCGGAAGGTTTGATCAGGAGGGACCCCAAAAGAGAGACCAGAGTACACAGGGAAATATCAGACGTCCACAGGTCTTTTGAAGTTTTTCGGCAGGTAGTGGGTTCATTTGTTGTTTGAGCGGAGTCTCTTGCACTACTGACAGTGGATGAATTAAAGCCGACAGAGGCAATTTGGAACGCCAGCTAGTGGGAAAGGAGAAGTTGCTCCCCTATATGGAGGTAGGAAGTTTTATTGATCAACAGTGAACATGAATGTGTGATAAGTCCTAGCCTCAAACTTGGATGGGAGTTCCTACTGAGGTAAAGACATCGTAGCTGCTGGCGAGGGCAAGGAGTGCATAGTGCAGTTCACTCGTTCTCGTAGGAGGAAAGCAGGAAAAGCTTACTTACAGATGACATTGACATCCATGTGCTGCCATATCAAGAACATTCTGCACTGACTGTTCAGAAGTGATGGAAGCATCATCGGGTGAGATGTTTGGTGGATTGAAGCGCTGCATGGTGGAGAACAGGTATTAACCTTTGCAGTCTCAAGTGCATTCACAGCCCCCATCTCCCCATACTTACGATGTGTCCCAAGGAACTGAGTTGAGTCAACATTTGTTCTGGGCTGAATTGAACCAACACAAACGTGGTACTGTTCAGGGCTTTGCAGCAGCAGCTATCCAAGATGCTGTTTCCAGAAGTGCCGGTGTGTCCATGGCAGTTGCTCGAAACTCAGCAACCTGCGGCAGCTTGAAGTGTAGCCACTGCAGTCATAATTACGTAGAATTGCTATAAACTATTATATAATATATATATATCATAATGTTGTTGTCATTGTAGATGCTCAACCAATGCAATTGTGTCTTCAGGCTTTTGTGGGCACAGGTCAGCACTATATAATTTGTCAATCATTCGTCAGAATCGGCGGTCCCACTGGTTGCAGTCAGTTTTATGATACCATTCACTAGCACGTTTGGCACATATGTAGTTTGATCCCACAGTCATAATCAGTGCTACTCACAAGCTCCCTGCACATACATTGATTTCCATTCCGCAGTAAAGACCATCAACACTTTCCCCCTCTTTTGCTTCGAAAAGCGATTCCTTCCCCTGAACATCACCCAAACGCTCTCTCCCCCGCCACACAGAAGAAGATAGACCCCTGTCAGACACTTCACATGTGGTCGGCCCCTCTCAGGATGTGGTCGGCTCTTTTGAAGCGATGCGCCGGTATTTGCGTGAAGTGAAGAAGTGTTTGGAGCGCGTGGACCCGCTTCTCGGCCTCCAAATACCGTCGCAACACGGTGCGGTGGAGCACATTAGACGAGGGGGTTCGGCACACAGTCACCACTAGTACTGTGGTCCACAGTGGGGCACACAGGATATACTGATATACTAAAAGCAGTTGTCATTTGTCAAATGTTATGCACTTGGTGTTGCTACTGGTTCACCACGATCCTTTGGTTCTTTTGAAGGGTCAGCTTATCATTTGCTACTGTTGTGAATATACTTGTATTGGAAGGTACATGGCCAAGTGGCTTTATTAACCCGCATTCATGGGGCTGGTGTTGCAGATTTGGATGTATTCAGACAGGTTTAGACAGGAGGTTTACTGAAAGATGCTGCTCTCAGGCACCTGTGCAACAATGTTGGCCTTGTCGCAAGGCCAGGCCATGAGTTGATCTGAGATGATCTGAGATCCATTGCAAAAGCGCAGTTTGATTGGCTTTTTTTGTTGTTTTTGCCCATTGAAGGCTGCATGCAGTTGTTTGCAGGCGTTTGAATCATGAATCCAAATCATCGCCCGGTTGCAGAAAACCACTGTTTCTTCGAAGTGAATCCCCCCGGTGAACGCGCCAGGCTCGTAGACTGGGAGGAGAAGCGGAATGGGACGGTGGGCCAAACTATGGCAGACTTGTTTGATTCGGTCGAGGGGGCAGGCTTGAGTTGCAGACCTGACCAGTTTGGACTGTTCTATCACTAGCACTTGATGCTGTCGAACAAAAGGCTACGTCCAACGCCGCGGCTGAGACGGCTCCCGCTCGGCGCCTTCCAGGAGAGCTGGGAAATTGGAGCCCGCTATGTTCGGCAAAGAACCTTGTTCGAGGCCAACAACGACATTGTCACTTGGCAGTCTGCAGGAGAGTCGTTTGGAATCATTTGATTTGATTCCTTTTGTTTTAGTTTGTCCATGTTCGTTCACTGTCCTTTGCTTGTGGTCTTCCAATGAATTTAGCTTGTACATGTACTGTCAAAATTGAATGAACCAAGTTTCGGGGAAGCTGCTCCCTTTTTCCTTCCTTGCTAGAATAAATGCATATGATGTTTTGTATGTTGTTCTGTTCTTATCACGAAAGGTAGCTTGAGCTACCTGAGTTCTCCTTGCTTTAGCAAAAATGTATTACAATCAGGAGTTGGGATTGTGCATTGAATGGGGGGGCCCCCCCTGGATCAAATCCCCCCTGCGCCGGTTCACGCCGTCATGGACTTTTACCAGGGTTGCTTGTGATTGCCTGCTACCTTTCCTTCACCCCCTCCTCTCTCAAGTCATACTTGTACTTGTCAAGTGGAGCAAGGGCTGCACATCGTTGATCCAGAACCCCTTATACCAGGCCTTACCATATGATCCGTTCCAGAAGAGCTTGTGTTACTTGCGGCCAGTATTGTGACACGCATTCCTGGTGAAGAGCCCAAATTCCATGGTAGGACATGCGATACCGAGACCTCCACTGTTTGCACCTCGGAGCTCAGAACGCCCCTGAGCTCAGGTGGCAGAGTTCCGGATCGCCCAAACACTGGCACCTGCGTTCACCACCATGTGTGCCTTGGAAAAAGAAACCGGTCACCGGTCGGTTCACTCACAGGTGCAGGTGGATCACCAGATAAGAGGGCATCGTGGCATCATGGCATCCAAGTCCATGTTGGTTGGACAGGGTGGGAAAAGAAGAAGGTGCGGCTTGGAGAGGTTTCCTGCAGATGGATTCTTTCGTGTTTCCACTATGCTTCCAGCACTCACCCGTGCATATACGTACCCCGTTTTTGCGCCATTGCCTTTTTGGAAGGGAGTCTAGCGTGAAAGGAAGGTGCCCAACTTAGTGTTAGAAAGCTTGCAGTTGGCTAGCTTTACATACGGTGGGCCATGCCTTTCGCTTAGTGGGCAAGCCATATTTCACATATTTAACTTTGCACATTGTTCTGGAGATTGAGCCCGAAATGATAACCGGGTACATAGCATGCAGGAAATGACACTCAATATATATGGGAGCATGCAGGAACTGGAGAATACGAGCATTTTACTGCTTCATCTCTCTAGATGGCCTTGTGCATCACGCAATTTGAAACCTGCAATTGGGTGCCTGCAGTAGTAAGGACAACAGTATATAGTTGGTAAATGTGAAACTTTGCTGCTGTCGGACCAAGGCACTGATTGTGATGTGGAACTTTTCCTGGTTCTGCCGAGGATGATGGGCCATGAATCAACATGAGCAATTGCAATGTACGTAAACTCGTGTCCTGCAACTGCTACCTGAGCTGCTTAACTAACTGCGCCATGCAGCACTCAAGGATGGGCTGGCAGTGAAGGTGTTGCCACCGTTGTCACCCGAAACCCATGCAATCACGAGACAGCACAAATCACAATCATAATCGACCTTATTTAGCCAGACATGGCCATGGCTTTGTGTTCCTGATGACATCACAACAAGCAGTTTCGCCTTCGCTCTTCTGCCAGGATGGTGATTTTGTGTTGCCTGGAAAAGCCGCTGGAACCGCGGGCAGGACTGAGCTAATGAAGCAACAGCTTTAAGAGGAAAACAGGATCATCTAATATCATATAACTATAATTAGGTTAAAGCGGAATGATTTCGGAAACGGATGCATTCTGAATTGGGCACTAAGCAATGTGACTTGCGGCCAGAAAAATATGGTAGAAATGCACCGTGAGATCTGGGCAAAAGTTTGATGGGTGTCCAGTGTGACCTTTGAGCATTCAGAGATGGATCCATGCACAGATATGCAGAGTATACATGTTAACATGTATGCTGCCAACACTGTCAGCCCACCGTTTTTGTTTGGCTGACTTAGGGAAGAAGCCGAAGCCTCCGCTAGACTCGAATCATGTAAATCACCAAGAGTTTGCTTCTCAGCCCAGAAAAGAATGGCCACTTGACACGTGTAGAAGGCAAGATATTCTTAGTTGCTAATTATGCCCCAAAGGATCAGAGTTGAACAGTTCCTTGTGTGTCCACTTGCAAGGACTCTTGAGGAGTTTGCTGCCATGAACTCAGACAGAGGTTTACTTGTGAACATGGACCTGCAAATCAGGAATAAATTATCCATAATTATCCGTTATCCGATTTGCGTCTATTTTAGTTTGGAGGATGAATTGCAACCTCAAAGATTGATACCACAAGCGCACACTTCTTGACAATCCTCGAACATGTGGGCAGACAAAATGCATGCTCACCATTTCTACACACCAACTCAGCCACTGGGCCCAGGCCTCACCGATTTCCAGAGAATTCCAGCAGCGGTCTAGACCAGGACCCCGAGATGGGGGCACTGCTCACACAGTTCAACCAGGCGGGAGCTGTTGTTGAATGGAGTCGATGGATTAAAAGTCTGGGCCGTCTGGGCCTGGTAAACTGCGGATCGGGTGGATTCTGATTTTGGAGGGCAATCTGTTGTTGGATCTGTCTTGTGCTTTTCGCTGTTCTACCTGTTGCTTCTCTGGCTTTTGGCATTTGTGGCTTCTATGGAGTTGGCTTTGGGCTTCGGTGGCTTCTGTTGGCTTTTGGATTTTTTGGCTTGGCTTTGGTGGCTTGTGTGGCTTTGGGCTGAGGTTTGGTTTGGTTCCTGATGGCTTGCTTTTGTTTCTCGTCGATTTGGATTAGGTGGTGGCTTGGTACTTGCTTTGCTGGGGGGCGGCGCTGCGCCCTCCGCCCAACTCCCTCCCCTTTGTTCAACCCAAGCCAAAAAACGATCAAACCTAATAAGCCTCAGCCAAATGAACAAGCCAAGCCTCATCAGCACCAGTAGGGGGGCTATACTGGGAACCTTCCTAGGACCATTGGGAGCAACCTAGCAAAACCAACAACACATCCAAAAGAAGCAAGAAACACGCAAAGACAGCATTGCAGCCTGTTATGTTCCCTATATTAATATAGGTGAATCCCCTAACCCGCGTATATTTTTCCTGGTTCCTTGAGCAAATCCAAATGGACGAGCAAACTGAGCCAACTTAGGGGCAGGTCCGAGCACTATACTGAGCTGCATGTCCTCACTGTACTTTTGCCCCAACTGAACTGAACCAACACCACTCCCCTGCCTCGGACTCTGGAGACCTCCACGATTTGGGTGACGGTTTTGAGATCCGTTCGTTCTCCGACGTGGACGACGCACCGCGCCGTACCGACGACAACGAGGTCCTTCAGCTGTTGGGAGAGAGCCATGACGACGCACCGCACGCCACGCTCGTGCGACGCGCGCCTTGGACTTGTTGGTTCGGGGGTCGGACGGGGGTTCGGTGGGAGGGGTCGGAGACCGAAGCGACTCCCTGGCTGGCTGCTTGGCTATTTTAGACATCTATATATAGACTATAGAAGAGTGACTTCGATGAATTCCTACTTGGTTCACAGTTTCACGGTCCTTTTCCAGAACCCATGCGGTCCACCATGGTCATCCAATTCTGCATTTGTTCCTATGCCATCCTAAGTCAGGCGTGCTCAAAAACACCAGAAAAACGCAAGCACTATGTCCACGAGTGCGTGATTTTGGACCGCAAAGTAGGCTTGAAGGACTCTTGTACGCCAATCCATGCCACATCAAAAATCATCAAATCAACTCGTTTGGGATCTACAATTGAACAAGAGCAGACCAAATCAATTCAGGTATTCTTTGGTCGGGATTTGCATGGACATTATCATGCATTATCCAAAGAGAGAGGTGTTGCAAGCCTGCAAGGGCAGAGCTTGGGCCCCGCGTTTTTCAGCACCATTTGGATCATTTATGATTATTTATGATCAACTCCAATGTGAGGGATGATCAAAGTCCAGTATTCCTTGAAAGGTCCTAACAACCCATCATGTGGTGATTCACACGGCATGTAAGCCTATATATACATATTTATACTTTAAGCCGAGATACTCAGAGATACTCTTCAGGATTCAGGGCGGGACAAATGATTGAAACCATTTGGACAACGTGCGGTCGCTGCTGCGAATGGTGGAAACCGAACAGGCGAAAACACCCCGAGCGTCATCCTAAGGCAGTCGCTGGCACAGCTGATGAGGCCGTAACAGACTCTGACAGACAGACTGACTTGTGCGACTCGTAGGGAATGAAGGTGGCTGGATCCAACGGAATCTCTATTCGGGAGCGAAACTTTCCTTATTCCTCACTGTGGATGTTTTGGCGGAACGTTTATGGCAACATCCACTTTATTCGTCAAACCTCACGGATTCTTTTTTGTGGCAGCAGATGCCGGGCCCGATGTTTCTGGGCTTGGGGCAATGTGCACAGACTTGCAATGAACAAGCCGTTTGTGTAGACATATTCTCTCTGGAACAAACGTGGAAATGGACAACCCCCTTGTTTGTAGAGGAACATGGTCTTCCAAGGGGTCATTTTGTCCACTTCGATGTGAGTTTCAGGGAAGTGTATGAAAGAGAAATCATGTTGTTTTCTCTTGTTAACGCTCACTTCGCTTCCATATAACCATGTTGTATTCCACTTCCATAACACATGTTGTTTTCTGTCATTCCCCGCTTTCGAGGCTGCGAAACAGCGCTCACCCGAAGGTCCACTGCGGACGCCCCAACGAATCGATCGACCAAATGGCAGGTCCGACATCTTCCTCGGCCGGTGCAAGAGCGAGTAGAACATCTCATGCGAGATGTGGAGAAATGGTCCTTGGAGCTTCAACGCAAAAACGCCGAGGACGCCCCGGCTCGACGCGGCTCCGACGGCTCCGACGGGGGAAGAGTCTTCCGAATCGGAAGAGATCGGAATCGAAGGACGGCCATGGTCGCCGGCCAACGAAAAGGGGGGATTTGAAGAGGTCTTCTGGGTTTGAGTGAACTCGGAAGGCATATGGAAGCTGGATTTTTGGTGGGTTTGAGTGTCAAAAAAAGGCCGAGTCCAGTCCAAGCTTGGCATTCAAAGTGGTCAAGAACTTGTAATTGCTGGGGAGCTTGAAAGGCCGTCGACATCTCTTCCAGCCAACACTGGGAGTGTGCAGCCAACACGATCAAGCGAGAAGGTTACGGTTACACATGATATCACATGATACACATTGCTTGCTGATGTTTACAGAGCTGCCTCAGGATAGATTTAGACTCCAGTATTTCCAATCGGGTGCCGAACTTGGAGGATAGGGGTGCCCAGCTACTCCACTTACTTAGTGACTACCAACCACCCCGACATGTGACACTCCTGGCTGTTTGTTGTTGTTTTTTAGGTGACAACCTCGAACAAGAGGAGCCATAGATCACACTACCAACTCGGATAAACAGAAGTCAAAAACTTGGAGCTCTTGATTGACCATTTTGCTACTGCCAGGCAACTTCCTGAACCATAGGTTTCTCGAAGGGCTTCGCTCATTTATTTTTATTAATGTATTATGAGAGAAAGACTCAAGTTGAAAATTGTTTAAGTCAATCAAATGCTTCATGGTGTATGTTGGGTTGTCTTTTGTCACCGCTAGGACTGGAATCAGTGCAGTTCTGTCCTGGTGGCTTGGCAGAAAGGAACAAAAAGATAACACCATAGACCGGATCATTTCATTTTCTTGTGTTATTTCTGTTATGTTTTGTCGTGTTGCCTTTATTTCGGCCTTTTAAACTTTAGACCTAGACCGTTTCCCATTCTTTCTGTGTTTCTTAATTCTGTTGTTTAATTTTGGTTCTTGAATATTCGTGTGTTCTAATTAGAGTTCCTGCACAACGCTAGCTGTACTTGGGACCAACAACAGATCAATGACATTTTAGTGCCCCCCGTAAGAATCCCGCAATTGTCAAGTTCAGCCTACCCGCTTCACATCAATCTTGGAACTGCTGCGACCATCAGGTGCAATGTCTAAATGGAAGCTCTCAAAAGCAGCATCTGCTGCCATCAGGCAAGTTTCAGGTGCGTTGTGCTGTTGCTGAAATGTGGCAAGTTTTGAGAGCACCGATTCCAGCATCACCCTGTCAGGGTGGTTATAGACCCTCTGAATATGTTTACCATCCAATAACATTTTTTGGGTGGTGCTGGTTGATAGGAGTTTTGTTTGCTTTTCTATTTTTGTTGTTTTTGTTGTGGTTAGACCGAGATTTGCCATCATCCGCCTCTATTAGGAGCTAGCCAAATGATTATTAAATAGGCTAGACGCACAACTAGACGTGCAGCATGTTTCGTTAGATCAATGTTGATGCAATATAGTGGTGTTGCTGTCAAGGCTGCGAAGGTTGGCAGACAGGTTTTGCATTGTTGCACGTCATAGGAGAGGTGCTTCTGCAGTTGATGTGTGTTGTTGGCGTTGCATTTCTTCCAATTCTTGTGCAGGTCTGAAAGACAAATAAAATCGGATAAGATGAGAGCACAGTTTTCTCAACGTCAAACTGCGAGACTTGCAGCTGGGAGCTAAGAAGTTCTTTCGTGTGACTGCCAGGATGAAGTCACTTCATGCAATCTCATGATAAATCTCATGACCGCATGGTCACGACTGCTAAAGGATTAAGCATTCCTGCAATATTTGCTTCCATGTTTGGCGACTAAGGTTTGGTTGGGATCTTTGTTGACTGGGTTTTGGCAATGTGCCCTATCTTCAGTCGAACTGTGCATGACTGCACTCCCCGGAAGCTAAGAACCTGGGAGCTGAGACATGGAGCGCTCTTTCCCCCGAACGGCGCTCTTTCGTGAGATGGTGCCGTTAGGGGGGTTCCCTTTTGGTCTCCCCAGACAGGTGGCACTTTTTTCAGCCAAGCATCATATGTTTCAGTGCTGGGGAGTGGGTGAGATGTCACCGCGTCGTTTTCAGCCAGACACCCAGTGCATCTCAGTTGCCACCGGTTTCTTCCGAGAGATCCCCTGTTTGTGGGACTAGCTAGCTTCACAGTCCTTCCTGTGGCAGCTGGGTTCACTGGGAGGCAATGTTCTTGCTTTGGCATGCGGCTTCCAGGTTAGCTTCTCGGGGGGTGTAGATTTCACTTGCTCTAGGTGACGCTGTTTGATGCGTGTGTTGAAGAACACCCGCCCAAAATATTGCAAGTTCCCTGACATCGGATGTCTGGACGTCACCCTTTTCGCCCGACCCGACGCTGTAAGCCCATCTGGATCTTTCCATTTATTTGCATCGGTTTCCCAGGCACCGGGGGGCATCGTCGAATGTGTGAAGTTAAGGACTCACAAGCTACGACAGGCATGCGTATTTGTTCCGCATGCAAAGACCTCGAAGAAAGGACCTTTGACATCGATTGCAGGGAATTTGTTCCCAACTGTTTGGCTGCTGGTCCAGTTGGCCACGCCTTTTTTGGCCAACTGTTCTTGGATTTTGCCAACACTTGAACTGAGCATGTCGTTTTGAGTTTTCAACGCGCGGTTTCGTGCACAGACTCCTGAAAGTAATGCGGCCATTTGCACCCTGAAGAAGATCCTCTATCAATACAGTGTTCGTCCAGATACGCTGCGTAGGTCCTGATTTTTCAGGTGTGCAATTCTTCCCGTTTTCGATCACCCGTTTTGGAGCGACGTCGTCGCATGAGTCGGAGTGGCAGATGGCCCCGTGGAGTCTTTGGTTCGGACGCGCTGTCTGGCTTGGCCATTCATCGGCACGCTCGGAGTGAGCGACAGACGGGTCCCCCCGGTCTGAGCGGGGGGGGGCGAAGGGACTAGCTGCGACTGCAACATACCTCACCAGAGCACCACTTTTAAGGCGTTCATAGCGTTTCAACCATTCAAGTGCTAGGAGGTCGACATGGACGTGAAGGCAGTGCTCTGAGCCTTTCAAGATCAGTTGATGGCCAGCATTTCCCTGTGTATAGAATGTTGTTTTGGGTGACTTGTTGCATGCAGGCCAGAGTTGGCAAGAGGGTTCCATTCCTCAATTGTTCATCAGAGGCGTACGCTAGGAGTCCACTTACTTGGCCATGACTGGTATGTACATTCATCACTTTCAGTGTTTCGGTGCTGTTATAGACTAAGAGACTCCAGAAACACCTAAAGACACTCGTCATACACTCGTGCGGCACTCAGAACACTCGTGCCAGCAGCTTCCAAGGAAGAACTCTGAGACCAAAGAGTTGAACTCCCACGTTTTCCTGACTGGATACGACCATCAGTGATCCACCATATACTATGCCTGCAAGATTAAATCTGGGGGTGGGGTTTTGAGCCAGTTTTTTCCACTGGTCACCAGCACCAAGAGGAAACGAGGTCCTTCCGTGCCAAGAACGAGGTCCGAGGTCCCGCCGAAGAGTGCGTGAAAGATGCCGTCTGTCGTGCCACTCCTGTCGCATCGATCGGTTGGGGAGACGCTCCAGGCGGAATCTCCCCGCATCGATGACTGCGGGGCGGAACTTTTTCCGACGAGACTGATCCGGGTTGCCCGCTATGGAGTGAGTACCTAGACAGGTTTTGAAGAGGAGCTTAGATGATAGATTTGTCATTATACTATACATTAGACATCATTAGACTATATCAGATTATTGAACATGACAGTCAATGAATGTTCTGAAAGCATATCCTCCCGCCACGAGACTGATTTTCTCCGGTCAACCCGGTGTGTCTCTTTCTTTCGAAGGCCACCTCTCGTGAGGGCGCAGCGCAGGTGACTCTGCTGCTGCCTTTGCTGGAGCTCCGGGAACGAAGCGGCCATCGACTGAAGATTTGCATTGGCCCTGGCTGACTTACCTTAAGGTACAAAGAGCTCGCCTATGTATAGATCCAAAAAGAGTGCAGCGGGTGCGTGCAGGGCGATGTACCAGAACTGGCGTGGGTCAGTTGGGTCGGTTGAGTGCCAACGGATCGATTTGCAAGAGAGATATGCACGGATCGTAGATGTTATTTTGCATTGTGCAAGAGATCGTGGCTAAATTGGGTGCCAAGTGGATCAACATGTTTCATGTCAGTGGATCAAGGATTGCTGATAAATCTCCTTAGGCTGCAGGCGCACAGTTTGCATGCACCCTGGGTCAGGAGAGCTCAGCTCGCTTGTCGTAGAACCAAACCGGTCCCGGCTGCCGGTCCTTGATAAGTCATGAGTCAGGACCAAGCAACATTGCAACTTTTTATACACTCAAAGCATCTCAAAAACAAGCTCGTTGGATGTTGCGATGACAATACTCAAAAAGATTTAACCGCACACACATTGACATGGACAATCATGGACATGTTGCTGCGTCATCCTTTCGCGAATTCCACGAGCTTTGACCCCTGGCCCAAGCGTTTCGCTCCGTCTCTTTCGCAGTCTGGGCGCGAGGCCACCGAGCGCCTTCAACGCGCGGGCTATGATGTCCTTGCAGGTGGGTGTTTCCTGGTGGTGAAGGTTCTCAGAGGAAGAGGAAGCTACACTCCCTGGAACTAACATGGAAGTGGAGTGAAAACCACGTCTGTTTGGTCTTCGGGTTTCATGTTCATCCGAGTCTTCGGGGCCGGGGGCGGAGTATACCGCAGGTTTTGCCCAGGTCTTCCACTTGCGGTGTGGGTGATTTTCCGGGCCTAGGCCGCTGGATAACAAGTTACTACATACTATATATATATATGTAATATAACGTCTTCTATAATGTTGTTTTTATCATGTTAGGGATGAACCAAATGGACCAAACAGACTGTGATGCCATGGATTGTTCGTATCGGTTCTACTCACCAAAGTATAGAACTTGTCACGGCCTCAATAAGGAGGTAGAAAGCCATGAACAGTGGCTGTACCCGTCGTTCCTTGTGTCATCAAATCAGCCAGGTGGAATGCATTTAATAACATATTTGGGCGGCGAAGGTTTTGGGGCAAAGCGTGGGCAACCCGTAAGATTGAGCCTCCCGGGATGCAATAATATATGGGTCCAGACTACGACGAGAGGCAGGTGGACTTTGGGTTCTCAGACTACGACGATAAGTTCTCAGACTACGGCTTGTCTTTTTGTTGGTCCAGCGCGGCTGATAGCCGATGGAGACAGTGAAGTTCCCAATAGAATAAACAGCGACTCTGATCAGGGAGGGAATTCCTGGGTACACGATTCCACAATGGAGGGAGAGACTTCTTTTCGCAAGTTCTGAACCATTTGTCGCAGTACTATTAAAACGTACGTAACAAAGATGCACAAAGTCTGTGGCATAGAGATGCAGTTTCTTTATGCTCTAGGAACCTTGAAGGGAACATGAATTTACAGCCCATAAAGTAACAAAGTATCCCTTGAACCAAAAACCGCAGAACCCGAGTTCTTCCGGTTTCGAATTCATTCCCCACCTGCCCACCTGCCAGGTTGGTTGGCGCCTTTGGCCAACTGCGGACACCTGTCACTGGGCACGTCCAGGTGGTGAAACGGGGGTGCCGATGTAGTGGTTCAGGACATCGATCCCCGACTGAAAAGCACAGTGAAATGAGAATTGGTGGACAACAGGCAAGCATGCGATTTGGAACGAAAGCTGCCAAGCTTCCAAGCTTCATTCATTTGGCTACTGCGAGGGGTGTGCAACTACTCCAGGGCTGAGGGTGCTAAGCTGCGCGTTCTTGTTTACCTTCTTGGTCCAATGTTGCGCTCACTGTCCTGCAAGAACGCGTTCCTCGGGAGAATGACAGACCAACCCGCACGCCATGTGTGTCTTCAAATCATGCCAAACCATTCATACATCATTCAACTTGGAGAACACACCAGAGAATAGATCCCAGAGCCACCCAGAGCCTCCCTGACACTGTTTGGGGCTTCCCCATCAGCTCCAAAGAGCTTGGGGTCCAGCCTCCCTTTGTGACGCCTGAGGTCCGCCAGCTTCCGGTTGAAGGCCCTGAGCGAGTTGAAGTCGAAGCTCCAGGCGACGGAGAAAGCGGAGATGGGCGGAGTCGGATGGAGGGTCGCTATAAGCACTCATGTAGGCCTATCATGGCTTATCCAAGTCCTACTTGTAAGCATACAGGATCATGCAGGAAAAAGCAGTCTGACAATCTATGACATGTATTTGTAACATATGGTTACGTCTAGTTCTAGTCTAGGCCAGTGTGTTTCGCCTTAGGCCTGAACACAACACCGGTCAGACCGCTCGTTCCCTGGGCGCCAAAAAGCCCCTCGCCCCGTCCGACCTCGGTGGGCTCTGAGTGCTCTGAGGTGTCGGAGTGGGCGGTGCGGAATGAGAAGACCAAGGAGATGGAGGCCCCGTCCAACACATTTGGCAATTCTAATAGCAAACATTGTTACTACTAGTCAGGCACTTGTTACGAGAAGCGATGCACTTGTTCCTAGAAGCTTCTTGTTACTAGTAAGGCACTTGTTACTACTAGCGTGGCACTTGTTACTAAGGCCGAAAGACCCCAAACATGGCCCTTGGGTTTCCTGCTTTTGGGCCCGAAGTGACCAGCCGATTCCGAGCGCACGCCTATCGGAGCTCTTTCGTTGTGCCGGAACGCTGGCGTTCTGTGGGTGGACAAGCAGGATGTCCAGCGATGATGCGTTCGATTGCGTTTCATGCTTGTGGTGGATGTGAGCATCAATGTGTGCACACTATGAAACAAGCATTGACCTATAAACAGTTATGCTGTCACGGTATGTTGGCTTTGAAGGAAATCAGAGCCCAGCTTGGTGCCGTTCAGAAGGGGCCTTTTGAAAAATCACACCCTGTGGTCTCGAGGCGATTTACAATACTTTTGACATCCTTTGACATTTCGATTGAGGAATGAGCAAGGAAATCCCGGTGAGCCTGGCTCATGTTGAATCATGTTGAATCCAGGTGATTGCCTTTCTTGCTTCATGAGCAAGACAATTACTTCTTCAGATCACTGAACGCTGTGGAATGGATGGTTATGGACCAGTGATGGGGCAGCAAACTGCAGCTGTGCTTTTTGTGTCACTGTGCTATTTGGGGTGCAACTCAAACTATCATAGAGGAAGCTGATATAAATTGGTGTTCACACCCCCTGGTAGACAAGACTCATCTTCAGGTAGTAGATACCCTGTGTGTTTCCCATTTTGGGGTATGTTCGTCGCCATCGGCGGACTGTCCTTCTCGCCCGCGCCGTCCTTCTCGCCCGCGGCCGTCCTTGTCGTCCAGGTGGTCCACGCCTTACGTGAAACGCTTCTGGAGGAGCGCATCGACTCGCGTTTCACGCAGCAACGATGCAGTCGTCCCTGTAGATCCAAGATGATCCCTACGTATCTTTTGAGAAGGTGAGGACGGGGACACTGTTCTGTAGGTGCCAGGAGGGTTCAAGCACCTTCTGAGAAGGTAATTACTTGGATCCATATAGGGAGTGCTTAAAGAGCTCCAGCAGCGAAGGGGAATGGTTTGCAGTCGAATTGTGTTGCACCCAGTTTTGTTCCGAGAACATGCGCTTTTTTTGAGCTTCCTTGCGGGGATAGAATTACGGCAGAACAGACAATTTGGTTGGTTGAAAGTCAAGCCCAGACTGTCCTCGACTCACCACACTATCTCTCGATGTCCTCTATATGACATTATTGTTAGTAAGTTAATGCATCCTCTCCTAAAATGTAACAACATGTAGACTAACAGTATCCAACAGTCTATAACATATTCAACATGACATATTTGAACTTGTTCAGAAAATTGCATGTCTAATTGCGTCCTCTCCAAGAGAAGCGTCGTCCGTTCACGTGTCGTGAAAAGCGTCCACCAAGGAGACCGGAACGAGCTCGAAGGCCTCTCCTCGAGTCCGGGTGCGCCGGCATAGGATTGGATGGATGGAGGGGGGAACGGATGGAGGGATGAAGGACATGTGCGAAAACTGCAGCATAAGATAGGATTTTGGAGGAAGAGAAGAGGCTTCCATGCTTATCCACAGATCTATCGATGGTGTCAATGATCCTGTTTTGAGAGATCTTTTGACTTGGATGAAAGGAACTAGCAGTTTCAATAAGCAACGGTAGGGCAGGTAGGCTGACACGTACGACTTCAAGTGCACGTACCAAACAAGTCGGAGGCTCATAAAGGAACCATGACTACACCTTATCGGAGTTCCATGATACCAGTGGTTCATGGGGAAGTTCCGTGGTGCCCAGCTGAAACCACTCAGTGGATGGGTCAGAAACCCGCCACGTCGGCTCCATCTGTCGCTTGGAAGACTCCAGGTGGTCGCCGTGTGCGGAGCGGATGAGATGAAGCGCTACAGCAGCCTCAAGCCACAGGCAGATTGACTCGGGGTTCGAATTCTGCTTTGAGCGAGATGAGATGACCCAAGTGCTGTCAATCTCCAACTCGCCTCGTCGTGAGTCGTGAACGACCGATTGCTTCAAGAAATCTCGTCTCGTTGTCTCGCTTCTCGGTTCGGTCCAGGGCAAAAACAGACCCGTCGACAGTCTCAACAGGGAGACTTCGCAGCTGAGAACCATCGACGATGGTTTTTCTCGACACGGAGAGAACAGGATGAACCGATACCACCAGGTTTAGTCGGTGCAAAGCAGGTGGACCTGGGTCTACTCTGCGGTCAAACCAGAGTAGATGGGAACAAGACAAAACCGTCTGAGCCTGCGGAGGCCATTGGGTCCGGGTGTTCTATCTTTTCAGTCAACAGAGACGTTTGGGTCTTGACCGTGAGGACATGCTGGGCCTTGTGGTGGTGCCACAGCCTGGAGATGAGGAGAGGGAGATCACGACCGGTCGCCACCCGTCGCCGACCCGTCTTCCAGCGACACTTCTCAATTGACCGGGTCAGACCGTTTGACCCGCACCTGAAGTGGTGGACCTCCCTAGTGGAGATGAACGGAGACTCCCCAAAAGCTGGCCCTTTGGATCCCTTTGGTATCCTTCGGTAGAATAAAATCCATGGCCATGGATGGATGATTACTAGACAAATTACAACCAAAAACACCCCTAACTCCCGTTACAACTCGTGTCCCACCCCTGCGGACGCAGCCACACGGAACTCGGGTCGCGTCCGGTGAGTGAGACGAGTCGACGCCAGCAGTGAGCCGACGGAGAGCCGACTTGGTGAGCCTTCACTTCGTGCAGCGAATGGTCATTCATCCAGTTGCTCCGGTTGGTCGGTTGCGCACGGGAGACCCCTCGGGGTCTGCCCTCCAAACGCGGTGGGTCGAGGAGACCTCAGAGCGCAGCGCAGCGATGGTTCGCGCAGGAGTTTTTACTGGAGAAGCCCCTTCAACAGATCTACATTGCAGAGGCATCGCAGTCCCAGGCGGATCTTGGCCGATTGGTGTCGTCTTTGTGCTTCGTCGTGTTTCATGTCACCCGGATGACCCGCATGTCGTGAGATACCAACAGGTGTGATGGGGTTGATCAGATAAAGTGACTTGATGACTTGATGCTTCGCTTTGTTCCACCTCAGTCCAGCGCTGATGTGGGGGATGTTGGCCACAGACGTTGCGCAACGACAGGATCATCCACGGAGACGATGCAGTAACCCAACATTAACCCAACCATGATGTCATGGTCATGGTGAGTTTCTTCTGAATCCGGAACATGAGACGTCTCACGACATATCATATGTCAATTATGTCATGTGTTTGCGCACCATTACGATATTAAACTATGAAACATTATGAAACCATGATAAACCATGGTTTATGTTTCACGATGTCCACTGGCAGCCGCACAACTCTTCCTTTTTCACCAGTTCAACATGCTGGACGGCAAGATCTTGGAGGAAGCGATCGCAGGTGACACCACGGACCGGGCGCGATCCCGTGGTCGGGCGCGCCCGTGGTCGGGGAGGGCACACGTACGCCGCATGGGATGGCCTTCACTGCGATGGGTGACGAATCCCCAAAGAACAGTGGGAGCCTCAGACGTCCCATGGCTAAGCAAATGGACCAAGCAAAAGAAGCCCCCACACATAATTAGAAGGCGGAACTGTTCCACTGACCGGTTTGAGTCGGGGTAGTCTCTCCCTAGTTTGAGCATGTTTTAGCCATGGGACCAATGAAGTGGCTTGACAACCTTCCGGCTTTTGTCCATGTGTCCAAGAAGTTGCCCGACTCTTGTGCTGCAAGGTGCTGGGTCAACCGGTAAACATCGGTAAACCTTCGTGTCATCGGTATCACATCGCCAAGTCTCATAGGGTTAGGGTGTTGTTAGCGGGGTACCGGACATTTTCATCGGTTTGGCGGCATGGTCATCTCTCTACACTGTCATGGCTTAAGGAACACTGTCTCATCGGTACCATAACATTGTCAGCCACTCACAGAACATCGTCATCAGCTTCACAAGTGGCTTCACATTATCACCCGGCTGCAGAACATGTGTGTTTCATGTCGTTCACAACATTGCCACCGGTGTCGCAGTTGTGTGTCTCGCCTGGAGCCACAGAACAGCCAATGCGCCCGTGGAGCTTGAAACTCCTCAATTCCAAGACGGCCTTCTAAGCCCATGGTGTTTTGTTGACGTTTCGATGGTGACTTCGGCCAGGGCCCTGCTTTACCCAACATGCAGTAATTGTGTTAGCCGGGAGCAGGGGCCAGCACACGAGAGAACAGTCGTTAGACGTTAGATAACGTTAGTTTGTTAGGCCAGTGCCCCTTTACTTAGTCCTTATACTATCTTATTATACTTACCATTTGCTTCCATGCGATTTGCACGCATTTCTTCATTCATGGAAAGTGTGTCCTTCTCAAAAGCTTGTTTTGCTTCCGATGATTTGGATACATGATGATACATGATACATGATACATTTGGCGACCTTGTCGGGCAAAGTCGACCTATAGCCCGACATGGTTGCACTGTTGCACTTTGTTGGTCCTTCGTCAACACCAGGTGGCGACATGGCCTTTGTGAACCAGGCAAAGTCCCAGACAGTGTGGAGCTGAAGCGCAGGTTGTTTGAGGGCATTTACATGATAGGCTGTTACGGCCGAAGAAAAAGGCATCCTGTAGCCTGTAGCATCCTGTAGCTACCTGGGTCTTCATTCTCCTGCTTTTTTTCCAGGAGTTTAGGACAATCAGTTGTTCCAATTGGAAAACAGTAAAGTAGGTCGTTTCCAGAAGAAACCAGTTGTATTTCTTAGACTATGATTCATGATGTTCTACACATGCCAGCGCCCTGCACCCTCCTCTCCGGACACCCCCACCCACTGGTGCACAGCTGATGCGCACCATTCACCGACTTCCTGGAGATCATTTTCCCCGAGCACGTCGGGAAACTCAGCTTTGCAGCCTGTTGAATTGGAGCTTATAGCGGCCTAAAATTTTTTTGGATGCAGCGTATTGCCTGTGAAAGTGGTGCACCCCCACAGCTTCTTGACAAGCGGCTGCACTTGCCTATAAAATCTTCATCGCTCCATGTTGAAGCGTTGATTGGGTTCAGTCCCCATTCACAATCACCATAACCATCACAACCGGTGTTCTGGAAAGGCAACTCCATAAACATATGAAGCTTTGGTTTGATCCGGAACATGAGGTATCCAGACGCAGCTTGCATAGCTGCCAGTTGTCCATACCCCTGGCAGAATCTGACAGCGAGGTGGCTTGTTTCCTGCTGCTGGGCCCGTGTCAGCCACAATCCCCACCTGTGAAGATTCTTAAAGAATCTATCGGCGGTCTGGAGGGTGTGAACGGCAACTCGAAGTTCATTGTCATGCGAGAAGTCCTGTGTTGGTGTTGGGAGACTGTTAGGTGAAAAGAAACCTACAGCCTATAATTCAATTTAACATGCGTACCCACAGCCCTGGGTTCAGTTGACAGTGACACAAAGAGTTTGGCCATAGCCCACCTTGTCGGACATAAAGGCAACCAGCCATTGCAGAACAAGAACAGTATCAAAGCCCTTTCCATTGATTGACGTTGGATAATCATTGGTACTGCTCATATCGAACTTTCTCCACGACCAAAGGCTGCATGCAGTTGTTTTGCCCTGACTAGAGCACGAGCCCATGTATTCATCATAGGCCAGTTCCAAACGGCTGTCAAAAGAACCTTGCCCCCACATGCCTTTGCGACAACACATCACAATCAAAGACGCGGCGAAGTCCACACCCACACCGTGGATGTGGAAGCTGTGCGTGCTGTCAACCAAAATGGTTCTTGGTCCAGCTGACGGCAAATCAAGGAATGGGCTGCGCTCGCCCCCCTTGAAAGGAGAAGGGCCAGGTCGTAGCCTTCGGGTCTCGGCCTCCTCACTGAAGTCAAACCAGTCCTGCCAGAACTCAACACACCTTGAACTAGACAACAGGGGTCCTACACATGGCTTTTGTTTTATCAACAGACAACTGGGTAACATGTGATTGAAGCATTCGAACACCCCCACCAGTATCCTGACTGTCACACAAGTGACATTTTCTGAGGCAGTTCCATCCCGTGGACAGTCGCCATACCTCACTATCAGGTGGGCCGCCGGTGGGTTGGCTGGAAGAGCAAACCGTTATATATTATAGCCTTTATAAAACAATAATGTGAGGGTTTCACTGGAAGAAAGTCCTTCTAGGTGGACAACTTGGTGAATGCAACTCAACCAAGGTGCGTGTCTCAAATACTTCCAGTCACCCTTGCATCCAACCCAAACCAGATACATGGTGGTGGTCGGATCACCAGGCACCACCTGTCAACCAAGGTGCTCCAAGTCTCTAGGTTTACTTGACACTGACCTACTTTGTCAAGTCCACGAGGGTAAAACATACACAACTATAACTTAGAAACTCGCCTGAAACCCTTCGTGAAAAAGCTCCAGCAGCTCTTCAGTCCAAGCCCGGTTGATTTGCATCAAGGTTTTCTCGCCGCAAAAGGCAGATGCCGACATGCAGGTGTACAGAAACCTGCTGCAGAAAGATTCCCTCAGAAGTTGTCCAGCCCCTCGCAGCAAACAAAGGAACCCTTTTCTACCAATTACTCCAGCATAGACCCCAGATAGCAAAAGCATGCGAAAGATTTTTCTAGGCTGCATTGGCAGCAGCTCCAATTTTTACAGCGTGGCGTGTCTCCACTATACGCGAGCATCCGGCACCTCACAGCACCAGCACCGGCGCCCAGCACCCAGCCAGCACCGGCACCGTGTCTCCACCACGTGCGCAGCCAGCTCACGTGCGCAGCAAGCTCGCAGCACCGGCGCCCAGCACCCTGTCTCCACCACGCGCACAGCCAGCCCCCGGCACGCGCGCGGCCAGCTCACAACACCGCGCACAGCCAGCTCACAGCACCAGCACCAGCGCCCAGCACCAGCACCAGCAACCTGTCTCCCACCACGTGCATGGCCAGCTCACAGCACCACACCAGCACCGGCGCCCGGCACCACCAGCACCGGCGCCCGGCACCCAGCACCAGCACCAGCAACCTGTCTCCACCACGCGCGCAGCCAGCTCACAGCACCAGCGCCAGCACCGGCACCCGGCACCCAGCACCAGCAACCTGTCTCCACCACGTGCGCAGCCAGCTCACAGCACCAGCGTGCACAGCCAGCTCACAGCACCAGCACCGGCACCCGGCACCAGCACCAGCAACCTGTCTCGAAAGCGCGCACGGGCAACTCGTTGTTATTTGAAGTAAGAATCCCATAGCTTCGCTATCTGGTGAAAAAACATACAAAAAACATGTTATTGGTCTAAACAAACCGAAGCACCCAGATACTGCAGTGCAATGGGTTCCCAAGAAGGAGCAACAAGGCTGCCAACTTTGCACCATAAAGGGGATCCTGCGGTGAGATACCCCTTCATCCCCGTGGGTCATTATGGGGATGCACTGACTCCAAGGTTTGCCACTTCGGTAGATCTCGTGGTCCTTGCTCATGGATCGGAATCGATACCAAAAGGATTCAAACATCGATCTCCATACAACAGAGTTCTTCAGGTCGTGGCCTCCAAGAAGTAGGCTCGGGTGGTTCTCAAAAATGAACTTACACCAAGACCTGACACTCAGCGTAGGCCAGTGTAAGTCCACATTATGAGGCTTTGGCTTCTTCTTCTTCACTGTGACCCGAGTAAAACTCACGTGGATGTCTATCGAGGCTCCAAAGTTATGAATGAGCGTAGCGAGATCTCTGCAAGAATTCTTGTTGCGGCTGCACTGGGCAAGCTTCCAGAGTAAGTCGTCTGACTTCCCTGGGCGCACAGCTTACTTAAAGGCCAGGACATGTTCATATGGAATCCCATCAACCCACCCACGACCTACAGGACCCCACAGAATAAATTACTGGCTTGTACAAACCAGGGCTCGGTGTTTCCGAAGACGGCAAATTCTGCTGGCAGACGCTGCAACTTGCTTCGCAGTTGTGGCCTTACACCATCCAATTCAGATTGAAGGCTTTTTATAGGTTCAACTCAAAAGGCACTGTTCATGGCAACGGCGTTAATGTGTCAGCCAAAGTACTCCTTCGAAGTAGTCCGCCAGCAGCTCGCTAGCAACCATATCAGACTCTTCATTGTCAAAGTTCTCCGGTTGACCTGATCAAAGTCATCGAACTGTAAAGTGTTGGTAAAACATGCAACCAAATCATGATATATACCGGAGTGTTCCAATTTGCATACAGCCAAAGGGCTCGCTGAGGGAAAAACAAAGCTTTCACCCTGGGGCTCGAGGGAACCTGGCAAGCAATCACACCACTACCACGTCAAAGTGTTGGGCGGACTGCAGGGGCACTCACAACTGCACGCAGCCCCTTTTTTCTCTAGGGCCACCGGAGGTGTAGCTTCAAAAGCACCAATAGTCGGCAAGGTGCATCTCTACCACATCAAAAAACAAAACTTGGGCTGACAGGACGACAGGTCTCTTACTTCTTCTTTCTCTTCGTCTTCGGTGCATCTTGCTGCTCTTCTTTCTGTTTCTTTGCTTTTCTCTTTTTGGATGGTTTGGCACCACCTTCACCCTCACCCTCACACTCATCCGCTTCCGCGTCAGGGGCGTGCTCATCCTTGGAGCGCTTGCGAGTCTTCCCGGAAGCTTTGGCCTTAGCCTTGGGCATTTTGCAATTCCTGACCACGCATTTTGATATATGATGTGCAAAGGGCAAGCAGTTGACAAAGTACACACATCTCACAAGAGCAAAACCGTGAAAACTAGAGGAACAACGGCCGATACAGCTAGCGCACTTCAGTCTGAGAAACCTTTGGCGGGGTTTGCAGACACGGACCTTTCACCACAGGTAAATGCAATACAAGTCTCTCCGTAAGAGTCAAGCGCAAGCATTTTTGAGCAGCGGACTGATGAGCTTTTCTTCCACAGCCTGCCATAGACAACTGTGACATTTATACATATGTCACACGAGACACACACATATGCAGAATTCACTTTTGTTTTTTACAAAGGCGCTCAAGGGTGGCTCTCAAACCATTCTAGCAAATCTGCACGCGGCCTTGGCGACAGGAGATGGCGTGTGGATCCGAGATGCTTCACCCTGATCAGCCAGGCAAGCAGATCTACAGAGAAATCCGGGAACAGTGAAGAGTGAAGGAAACAAAATCACTGTCCTTCTCCAGAGAATGACCAGGATGTTCAGGGCCGCGCTCTTCAACCTACCAGGAACTACCAACCAATTGACTCAATTGATGGCGCTGCGTACTTGCCAAGAGAACTTGATAGGACACAAAACAAAAAATCCAATAGGATCCTAGCTTGTGTTGGCACTTCCCCCCTTTGCTTGGTCAAAGCATGTGCCATGATGCAAGAACTGCGGGTGCCAAATGAACACGGATTTGGGGCCTGCATTTCTTGCATCATGGCGTGCGCCCCTTACCAAACATAGTGCACTGGCCTCCTCGGGTTTGTTGGTTGGAGCCGCCAGGTGAAGGTTGCCAAAGTCATCCGTCAAACCTAAAGGTTCCGGGAAGCACGGGCTTCAACATGAAAGTTTCAAAGCCTCCTGTCAAGTAACCTGTGTGTAGGTCTTCTAGTACCTCATCTTCTGTTCCAGCTTCGCTTTCAGATCCCTCTTCCTCTTGGTCTGAACCGGATTCCTCCGCAGGAACCTCTTTATGTGGCAGTTTGATGTTGAGAGCCCCAATCAACCACCTAATCTCTGGCTCCCGGGGAGTGTGAGGTCTTCTGATGATATCGTTGAAGAGCGTAACGCATCGCCGCGCGGTCCAGGCCAGCTTGGTGATGGTGTTGCCTCACGAGCGCGCTCAAGGCTCAATGGAAAAACTTGGAGAAGCGAGCAGTGAACACGCATGGAAATAAAATCCAACTATATATATATTATATATATACTAGCTTTAGGCAAGATACTACTGCAGGGTATCTTGCAATACCGAAAGAAGCTATCGATATGAAGCTCAAGAGTGGGAACAGCCACTCGATAACCCAAGTGTGTGATTGTGATCTTCAAGAACTTGACATTTTGCCGAACTGTGTCCCGGCAAACGATAGATCCAGTAGTCTTCACCTGAGTGCAAGGGCAAGCCCATGCCAAAGGGCCAAAGCGATATCGGGATATTTCTCACACTTAATTAGTGCAGTGACGTTTTCCCCTGAAGCCACCAAAAGGCCTGAGCACCACACTAATTGGAACGTTTTGGCAGCACGCCGAAGTTGAACACAATTCTCCCAAGCTTTTGCAAGTGGTGTTGCTTGGAGTTCATCTGGGTCCGCATCGAGATCAAGAAACGAAGCGTTTCCAGCCATGCTACTACCAGTGGCCTTTGCAAAGTGAGCCAAAACTTCTGGTTTGGACGGATGACCATGGGTGTGCTCGTGCAACACCTCCCAACACTGCATTCATGCATGCGGGACAGGCATCGACATTGAAAGTCTCGGGCTCGCCTCGTCTCATTGGAAGGTGGACGCCACCGACCTGCCGCACGGATCAGATCCGGAAAGATGCTGGGCAACTTGGCCGGAACCCCCTAGCACAGACCTAGGAGATGTAAGCAGATCCACCACCAGACTAGATGTAAAACAAAAATACATGGCTGGTGAAGGCTTCAATCCAATCAGACTCTTTTGACCCGGCCTCCACGTCACCAGAGCCCAGCCCCCTCAGCCATGTGAGAACCTGTGGGCGCTGAGCATCCGAGGATATGGGCAGCACACCGACCAGCGCATGACATGCAGATGTCAATGCGATGAAAGATGATCCCAGCCCGCCTGTGATCTTCACCACGGCCATAGGGCATGGATGAGCCAAAAGAATGGCTTTTGGCAGTCTGATCACCTCAAACCCTGAAAAACAACACTTTCAGGAGAGTTAGTTGTTTCCAACCAAAAGCAGTGAAGTTAGACAAACTCGAGAACTACTGGAAAAAATGCATCGTTCGAAGATCTAGGTAGATATGAGACGATTCCCAAACAATTCTTTAAACATGATGCTCAACTAGTTTCAAGGGGTGTATCGGTTTATCTCTCGATCAATGTTCTTTCCACAAATTCATGTTTGTTGCTAATTATATTAATTGTTACTAATTCTGTTCCTGTAACCAGCCACATCCACCCAATTGGTGCGGTGCGTCAGTGGACCATAGGGTGGGAGTGTTCTTCAGATGAGGCAGGCAACAGGAACAGCTGATAAGGCAACCCTTATGGTATAGTCATTTGGATCATTTGGCGTGTCCAAATCATTGCCTTCGTCTTCGCCCAAACCCTTCCGGAAGCCCGCAGTCTCGACCCGGTCACGTCAGAGTTGGATCGAGGGGCTTGGGAAATGGAGGCGAACAACCCACAGTTTGCCCAAATCTCCGAGGAAAAACCTGACACAATGGATGACAACACAGCAAGAGAAGAATGCTTCTAGGAGCCAGGTCACCGCGACATGGTTCTTCTCAGGGTCCTTCTGACTCATGTCTTTTGGAGCCGCGCAGGCTTTGCCACCTGATGTGAATCGCTTGGCGCTTTTCCCCACCCTGCAGGCCGCCGCAGGTTCTGTTCTCGGGTTTGATTCATAGGGGTCACGACACGACTGTCGGACGTGACACGATCCTGTACCACTTGAGGTGCACCAAAGCCACGATTGGATATGATGGTATTTCTATAATATGGTATAAGATCTGGATATTCCGACATTATGTGTCAGGTGCATAGCAATAGTTGGCCAGATCTAGAAAGAAACACTCCAAGTTTCCACAATAAGGAAACAGCCTCAGATACTGTACACTAATTCTTGGTCATCACCTGGGATGTTGAGCAGTGGACTTGATGCATTTTTAAAATTTAAGACTGCTGACTACTGCCCTGTTGGGTCGCAAGAGAGAAACAAGTGACAATGTCGTCTCAATTATAGTTGCATGGCAGAGTTTGTTTGTTTCCGCTTTTGCCGGCAAGAGCTGTTTTCAGTCTTGGTTCCTTACGGTCGAAATAGGAGCATCCTTCTGGAGCCATAGGACCCCCTTGACCCCCGGCCAGTTGCGGTGAACTGACCAGATCTCTCAGGAGCAGCAGGACTTCGGCTTCGACCTGGCGAAGTTGGAAACACAGGCGCCGCTTCGACCTCGCGTGGCACGAGAGCGTGGAGAGCGTGGCCATCGATGGAGATGCAGAGCTTGGTCCAGTTAGGTGTGCCGCAGGACCGGGAAAATGTAGCAACGTGAAGTTGTCCAGAAAGTCTGCAGTTCTCGCACTCAGGCCAAGGACCCATCTTCAAATTCCCACGGTTTAGTGATTCTTTTGTGTGTCCAATCAAATCAAAAGCGAATCTGATGATTGCTTGAAAGGCTTCACCAACAGATTTAGCATGGGGTTTCATCGTATAAACGCCTGCCTTGGCTGGTTGGAACATGCAGAACACCAAGTGTTTGGACCTGTTGGACCAACTTGCCAGGCCCGCAGGTCCGGTTTCTCAGACCAACCAACAGACCGACCGGTCGATCGCAGGTTCCAGATGGCCCTTGGCCAGCAGCAAAGCTCATGAAAAAGCTGGTGAGCATTGCACCCGAGGCAGTTAAGGGGCCGTTTTGTGTGGCATGTGTGGCCGTTTTTCTTTCTTGAATCAATGAATCAATGTTCATCCTCAGTCAGACGTTTGGTTGAAGACGTAATTCATGGACGCAAGTTCTTTTTTTTTATGTCCGCCGTTCATTGGTTTCAACCTCTCTCAAAATATAGAGATATATAAATTAAATATATCTATAATTAAACAACAACAGATCATCATTTGGTTCGTGAATATGCCGTAGCACAGCAAGGATTCCGCCCATGAGCTGTGCTCAGTTCTGGTCCAGGTTCTGCATTTGCTTTTTGTTCAACAATGCAAAGAGCCTGTGCTGTGCTGTGTTGTTGCGCGCAGGCTCAGGGTGCTCACACTTGGGCACTGCTCATACTCAGCGATGCCATGGTCCCTGCCATGAAATACCACCTGGACCTCCTGGCCAAGGCAGTGCTGCGGGGCGCAGCTCACCACGGCAACAGTGCCCACCGAGCGAGCTTTTTGTGAGGAAAAAAGGGGGTGTTGGAGTAGAAGAAAATGCCAACCAGATGATTTCAAGTGTTTTGGAACTAGACAAGGACTAGCTATGTCAAGCAAGCAAAGCTGATACAACTGATACAGCCGATGCGCCTGACTTGGTGGAAAATTCCGTGGCCTGGCCAGGCCTAACGTGTTTGAAATCCCTGTGCGCATTGCCTCTACGGAATGCGACGGGTTGACTCCTGAGAAAGGCAATCATTGTGTAATTACATAGAACTTTTCTGGGTGAAATGAGGTTTGGCATTTGTAAAGGGATAAACTGATAGCCAACAGCGTGCTGGTTTGCAAACATGTGGTTTTGTATGTGGTATTCCTGTTCAAGGTGGGACCAATTGTGTAGAAAACATTTCAGTTTGTTGAGAAACATGTGCGCAGGGGGAAGAAATGGGGGAAGACGGTTTCATGATTCCAAAGGTCTTTACAGAATGGGTCTCTCTACAGATTTGGTTTGAGTAGTTTGTCATGCCTTTTATTGCCTTTTTAATAAGATTTGTGTTGGCTTGAACAAGTTGCACCTCTACAGTGCATTTTGATGCATGTTGTTTCTTCTTTTCAGAGCACTCGTCCGCTGTCCTGTCCTCTCTGGAAGTTTGCCATGTTGTAGTCAGTGAAAATGGTTCACTGTCCCCTTGCACCATGCATTCTGTAGACTTTTTTTTCACCGGAATGTTTTTTTTGTAGACACCTTGAGGTACAGTACTCTTTTTTTCGTGTTAAATTACAGAATGGCAACCACAACCTCACCCCTCTACGCTCATCTCCGGCCAGGCAAGAGCGAGACTTGAGAAGCGGGGCTATTGTGTGGCTATCTCAGCCCAGCTCAGTTGCTTCAGGTGGCCAGGTCAGCCCTGCCTGCTCATGTATCATGTGTGTGTTGCCGCTGAGCTGCTCTTTTGTGAAGTTCCCTGGCAGATCGAATGATGTGTTTTTTGCTCCATCCGCAGCAAATTGGCTCCATCCAAGTGGTTTGTTTGATTCTCATTGCATCGTGGCTCTTGTAGTCATTGTTGTCACCTCCATCTTCCTTTGCACTCGGTCACCACCTTGACAATGTGGTCTGCTGCAAGTACAACTTGAAGACTCGAAGGCAAGTACCAGCTGGTTTGACCTGGAAAAAAGAAACAAAGTATTTGCAATGGGACAGCTAGCATAGACTTCTTAAATGCAAGAGATGTAGATGGTGTTGGGAAAGACCGTGGTGCGGAGCACTGGAGGTCAAAAGAAGCTTGCCATCATATACGCACATCATGTACACAGCTCAGACCGTGTTTGTGCCTTGGCATTCTCAGGCACTGAGGTCGATTTAAAGGACGTGCAGGTAGATGCTGCGGCTGTCCCAAATTGCGGGTGGTGCAAGGTGCCAAGCCTGCACTCAGGTTTTGCTACGGCCATGAAAGATTACTTGCGTCGTGGGGGCGAAAACCAGGTGAAGACATTGATCACAAACAAGAGATGCAAGGATGGCATCATTGCTGTTGGTCACACGCTTTGGGTGGTGCAGAGGCAACTTTGCGCCAACAGCAGGAATGGATGGCTTAATTATAAATAATAAATATTTTATGGAACAATTTCTTCACCCACGATGATGACCAACCAATGCTACTCGATTTGCCACAAAGACCAAGAACATGGCTATTGCAAATCCACCCACACAAATCCTTTGCCAAGTTGCGGGAAATTCAAGTCGAAGGCCAGACGTCACCATCAGGCTGTTGCCGGTTTGCTTCGGCGGAAAAGGCGTCTTTGGAGCGCCTCCGATCTCGACCACCCAGCTCCAGAATTACAGGAGTGGTGACCTGTGCTTCAAGGGTACCAGGCTCTTCAACTATGACGATGCGCCAACTGCTGCGGTCCCTACCTTGGCAACTGTATTGGTTTCGAGACACCCAAAGGTGGAGGCCATTGCGTCTCAGAAAGCAAGGAGAGTTTTTCAGGCTGTCCACGTGCCGTGCCACGATGCGAGTCGCAGGGGCTCCGTCCTCATGGCTTGGTGCAGCGAATCTGTCGCAACGAATGGGATTGGTGGGCTTGCCTACTCTATGGCTCCCTCAATGAAGTTTACAGCAGCACGTACTCGATGACCACTTACCTGAGCCGTGTCAAGAAGTGAATACCCAAATGCAAGCAAGTGTGCCACGTGGACAACTGTGTTGGGACGCCAACCAATCCAATTCCTTGGCACCTTTGTTCAGGGGGTGAGAAGTGGGAAAAGAAGACTCCCAAGCAAACTCATCGGGGATGCTGCCGGGGTTACCGTGGTGCATGCGACCTGTGCTGCTAAGTGTGCAAAAGAAGGCGGCTGCCTGGTTCACGAGAACATGTTTATCGTTTTTTTTGCACAGGTCTTGTACCCACTGAACTCTGGTGTACAAGTGGACTACAAGGTAATGTGTGTGTTCTGCGGACAACGGTTCAACCGAGGTCATTGGCATGTGGCTCTCGTGCCTCAGAAGCAACTAGCTGTCCAGACATACTTAAAAGCTTCATTGTTACTAGTTGCTAGTAACGATGGCCTCCACCTAATACTTAGCGTCCTTGCTACTAGTTAGTAGCGATGGCCTCCACCCTAGTAGCTTCTTGTTACTAGTAGCGATGGCCTTCAACCTAATAGCGATGGCCTCCACCTAGTAGCTTCTAGTTGCTAAGAAGCTTCAAAGACATAGCATTTCCAGAAATTGATGACATCATGTCAACGTCATGAGTTTCTTCGCGGCTGACGGGTTCGAGAGTCGTAGAGTCCAAGTGCCCGATCGCACGGCAGTCACAGTCATTGTGAATACTTGGAGAGTTGAGGCCCTGGAGCGTCTTCCTGCCTTGCTTGGCTTGAACATGTTCAACATGAGCATGCTGAGATGAGAGTGCCATCGACAGCAATCCTGTTGATTGGGACATGTGACATGGGGAAACTCGCTATGTAGTGACTCCAGTCCCTAGATCTACTTGAACAACTCGCAAACGAACCAGTGTTTGGTCAGGAAGCACATCCCGCTCATGAATCAACATGCAAATGCAGAAGTTGTTTTATGGGGACTTCAACACGCACCCGTGCGGCTCATGCCTGTATTTTATGGGCTCGCACCTTGCTCCAACAGGTCATTGAATGTGATACAATAGTTCAACAATAGATTATATGAGCACGCATTAAATATAGGATAGGATCTCATATGGCTTCTCATATGTTTATACTATTTCTACTATACTAGATTATTGTAGGATTAGACATATTTTCTCATTGCGGGATTGCTCAAAACTTACAACAATATTCCAGGCATCAAATCAAAACACCGCCGACCTAGATTTCATTTCATTAAAAGTGAGTCTCAAGGTCCAAGGTTACACATGCTGTCATATTACAACGTAAACACAATGCCTAATTGAAATGAGTCCTTCGCGGACTCATTGCCAGGAAAGTAAGCTCAAGAACGGTGAACTGCGGGGAACCTCAAAGGGTTTGTCGACAGACCTTTGCGCAACATCAAGCACCAGTGCCAGGGCTGTCTTGTGGAGGAAATGAGCAGCGATCAGAGACGAGGTTGTTCCACGAGGTCGATCATTTCAGCCAATATTTGCAGCTTTTGGTCCGCCACAGTGAGGGAGATTCTTGAAATGAGATACGTCACAAGAATAGGCAACAATCCAGCAGGCGATGCAGATGATGTATCATTTTGCGCTACTGGACTGGAAGGTATTCATTCTTTAAACCTTGAGGTTACCGGTTGATTTGTTTCTTTGTTCAGACTTTCCACGATTATCCTCTCAACTGTGGGACCGCATGCCAGTATATTGCACCCCAACAGGGGCGAAGGCTCATAAATCCAAGTTCAATGATTTCCTGGATCACCACACCAGCAAGTGCTTGCCATTGCATCATTGCCTGGATCTTCCCAGTGACCTTTTGATCCCCTGGTTTGAGGTCGCTCGAACAGGCTTGTAAAAGGTCACTGGGAAGGTCCTGGTGGTGGTGCTTGTTCGCCACCGAAGATTTCGCTCCGCTCAGCGTCGCTTGGCCCCGAGGAGCCGGGAGTTTCGTGCACGTGCAGCCAAGCTGTTGGCACCGTGGCGGAGAGGATGTATGACTTTTGGAGTCAAAGACTAGTGACTAGAGGGCCATGTCAGAACCAATGGTGCCCCACAGGTAGGAAAGAGTCTCTTTTCAGGAATAGATGAATATGATATAATATGATATTGCGACACATCGTGTGTGTTTTTTTGCCAGAAATGATGGAGCTCTTTGAGTTATTGGGTGTCCACCGCGCCACGGGTGTCGTGTCGTGTGCTTTGCCTGCTCTCAGGTGTCCACCGACGAACTGACCATGGTGAGCACGTGGGAGCTCCATCATGAGGGGCCCGGCTCCTGGTGCTCGTGCTGTACGGGAAAAACGAGTCATGCCGACGTTGGTCGGACGGTGGGAGTTCTTTTTATCCCAGAAGACATGGAGTCCCCAGGAGGGACGCAGCATCCGTTTCTATCCAAAACGGAGCCTAAAGAAAGCATGCCTTGATTGGAATCTAATCTGGTCAGAAGCCCTCCCTATATTACAGCCGAAACGAACTGAAAGGTCGAGATATGTTGTGATGGTGCAATTGGCAGGGCCCGGAAAACGAGCATTTGGCCCTTTTTCCTCAAACGAGCACGGCACCGGCACCGGCGGCCCGCTTGCCCCCGGTGCCCAGGAAGCCAAGTGCAGCAGAGGCAGGGGAGGGAAGACTCGCAGCTCCAGTCCCCGTGTGGGTCGACCGTTGGACAACATGGGCAACGACGTGGAGGGGATTGGGGTGAGACTGCCGAAAAGGACAGGGACCTTTGAGAATCTTCCAGACGGTGATGACAGCAAGTGGAATGAATGCTCTTTACTAAGTTCTAAGTGCAGCTTCATGTCCATCTTCGCAGAAAGAAGTAAAACATCGTAAAACTATTTGCTGCAATCCATTCTGATTCTAGTCCTTCATCTAGAAACCGTCATTTGATGGTCATTCATGTTCGCTTGTCCGCTCCGCAGCAACGATTTTTGAAGGATAAAACATCGAAGCTCCCGTGCTTTCACTGTTGTCCATTCCACGACTTCCCTCTTGAGATCAGCGTCTCAGCTAATCACGTCTCAGCGACTACAGCCGTGGCCATAACCGCCCAGCCGCCCTGTTTTGTTTTCAAGCCGCGGCGTAGCTTGAGAAGACGGCGAGTTGGAGCCTCAGTCTTGATTGCAAAATGTCAAATTCAGTTGAGAGTTATGAAAAACACAAACATATTTCTGGTTAATTTCAGTGGCTTCAACTTCTACATGCGTTTAACATTTAAAGCCATGCCCTGGAGACACCCACCCACAGAAATCCCCTTGATCATCTAAGAGTCTACACAGTATCATGGAATCATGGAAGCGGAACCGCTGGTTCGGAACACCTGTCCTCTCGGTCATCCTATCCGATCCTATCCACTTCTCGGCCTTAGTGGAGTTTCTTCCCCCCATCCAAGGAGCATATGTTTTTAGGGAAAAACTACTAGCAAATGGCCTCCACCCTAGTAACGATGGCCTCCACCCTAGTAGCGATGGCCTCCACCCTAGTAGCGATGGCCTTGAACGTTGCTCATCACCATGTTCGCCACCACCGTTCACCGCAAAGGGGGTGAACCGCCGACCATCATATCGATGTGCGTCAAAGCCCTAAACACATCCCAATTTCACGGATTCCACCGATTCCACGCACACGAGAGGCCAAGATTCATTCCTGCTTCTGTTTTGGGTGATTTGCTTCCTTTGCTGAAGGCTTCCACTTTTTCACCCAACACATAAACCATCCAGCAAAGCACACAACCTTCCTTCCGCCTCACCGCCTCAACAACGTTTCTACTTCGCGTCAGGCCATGATCTATCAGCCTGGCCAGGGGCTCAGCTCCGAGGCCATCGCGCGGCTGCGCGGACGCAAGGCGCGTGTCTTCGGTTCCGGTCCGCCGGTCGCGACCGCGAAGACGGAAGGATGAAGGAAGGAGTCCGATCCGGCGTTCCACTTTTGAGACTCTTGGGCCTTGGTTGGGAAATACATCTCTATACATCTCTATACGAATTACATGTAAGACATTTTGAGGCATACGTGAAGATGCAGTATATGACCATTGGTGGAGGAACTCCCATGATTGTGTACGTATACATGTGCACAGTATACGTTGGAGGCCATCGATACTAGGTTGGAGGCCCACTTACATAATACATGTGTAATAGTATATATACATGATTATACATGTGGGCCTTTATATATATATATACCTTATACATGTGTAGTACATGTGTATATAGTATAATTTGTTTACCTTGTCAGAATTGACTCACAGAAAGTTGCCGCGATGCCAAAGGTGCGTAGTAATGCTTTTTCCATCTGTAGACTCTTGACATCTCTTGACTCATACTCTCCCCAGTATGAATAGGTTTGACCATCTAAATGGGGTGGGGTTGATCATATAAAGGGTCTACAGTCCAGGATCCCCAGGGTAGAAATTGGAAGATGCCGTCCCATTCATGGACCATGCACTGCCATGTACCGACAGAATCTGGGGCTGTTTGTTTGGAAGAGTGACCAAAGTATTCATTGACACGCGAACATGGAAGTGAAACAAGGCATGTTGGTAAGGGAGCGTCTCGTCTTCCCCAGGAGGGGTTATCAAGAGCTACGAACGGGGCTCCTGGCCTTACTACTAGGAGAAAGGACGCTACTAGGGGCTCCTGGCATCGCTACTACGAGCATTCTTACTACTAGGAACAAGAACGCTACTTGTAACAAGGGCATCGCTACTAGGAGCAAGGATGCTACGAACGGGGGTTCATCAATCAAGAATCCTCTTCAGGCGTCCCGGACCACTCTTGGGTTAAGCCAGGACTCCGTGACCACGGTCTTCAGTGATCTGCTGGCTCAGGACTCTTCGGGTGTGTCCCGCGTTAAAAGACTGTCAAGTATAACATGATCACATCATATGAATCATATATATATATACTAATATATACTATATATAATATTGATGACCATGCTACTACTAAGCGTCATCATCCACTGTTACTGGATTACTGGTCATGGGATGTACCCAAGCTGTTCCTCAGTCTCTCTTAATAATCTTTGAGATGAGGGCGTGACTCGATCTATGACAGGCAAAGCAGTACTCCGCCAGAATGAAGAATCCTAGGACTTGGACCACACGCATCTTCCTGCAACGCAATGTCGGACATTTGGAAGGGAACCCATGGTTTGATTGGATCCTTTGCCATTTGAAACCTGCATTCTCCGCCTGATGAACAGCCTTTAGCCGGTTTCACACCGGCAGAACACCAAACAGGACGCCTTGGGACGAATCCAAACACCAAACGAGGACGAATCCAAACAGTGGGAGAACCTCCTGGGCTTTGGAGCCACCAAGAAGCCGCGCTGCTCCCAGTGCACCAGGCCGCCGCCACGGCGCCACCTCCCTCGGTCGTTCGGAACACAACGGAGGTGTTAAAACAACACACGGATGTGGTTCTGGATCCTGGGCGCCCTGTTTGGGGCGAAGAGTTGCGCCCCGAAGCGGCCTAAGCTCCTTCTTTTCCTAGCCATGTTTTGCAATACCTTGGGATAGAGAGTGGTCGCATCCGCAAAGAACGGAGTTTTCGTGGTTAGTAAGGAACCTTTCCAGGGCTTTGAAATCGCTTGGCCACCACTGGAAATGATGGTCTTTAAGAATTTTGACAGGAAATTACAAAAGGGTTGGTTGTTGTTTTTGTGTGTGTTTCTTCATCTCTACACGGCTTCACACCAGACGGTGTTCTTTTTTGACTGAGCCCGCGCAGGCCTTTGAGCGCCGAAGATCCTTCGGCCAGGCCAAGATTGGAGGATTCGTTGGACCCGGAAACGGAGATCTAAATGGTCAAGAGAGCAAGCCCGGAGTTCCATTCAAAAGACCAGAGTCCATTGAGTCCATGATTAAAAACAACCTTTTTTGGATGGAACTAGAACTAGTTCATTCAAACCAGGTGTTTTGGCACGATCCAGAGTCGCTCCTGCCAGATATTTCCTTTGCAGCCGATGTGCCGGGGAGTCCGGGCAGGCCAAAGATCGGATGAATGGGCAGAGTGTCAAGAGAAGAGTCATGGGAAAAATTTCAGCTGATCTTCGACACTTGATGCGTCAAGATTGGGGATCATGTACTGCATACCCTTCTCTCTTTGCTCCACTATATGGTAACTGGTAACTTCGGTTTCAATTTGTTTGACATTTACGCGGGCAACACTAAGCTTAAGTATCTTAAGTCAGCACTGCAGTCTGCCATAGACCGAGGGTTTGTTGATCCCATGTCACCTTCCCTCCTTCCCATGTCGCAGCTGGGAGCAGCGCATGGGACGAAGGAAGCGCGCGGGCAGGTGGAGAATTCAGAGTTTGATCCTCAGCACAGCTGGCAGGTGCTGTTTTGACCGTTTACGCCTGGCTCCTCCAAAGCGACGTTTGCGAATCAAGACTAATACCTGGTGTAGTCATACTGGTGCGGTTTTGACAAATACAAGTTATCCTCCGACATCATCAAGCAAAAGACCAGCAACCGCTGATTTGAGGGGTCAAGTTTTGCATTCCGGTGCTCCGTTCGAAGCTTCCTGTCGCGGGCCACGCGTCCTCAAAAGACTGAGGCCCTCGCGGGCACAGGGGCGGCCACCACACTTGGAAGTTTGGATGCACCTGGCTAGGATTGGTTGCATGGTTTGGATGCACCAAGAAAGGAACGGTGAGGTTTGGTGCCTCAAGCTGTTTGTCGTTTTGTTTTCATGCCTTGAATGCAAAGCAACAGCAGCACAGGAGGAGCTGAAAGCATCGGTGCATGAGATTGCGAAAGGGTGACTTGATCTAAGGACAGCTGTGCGGACCATGCGCAGGCAGGGTCAATCCAGATGTTTTGGAACATAGCGGTCGATTGATGTTACTGTAGTTCAATGAATACTGTAGTTTTCTGCCTGACGCTTGGTGATTCCAAGAGACATCAAGAGACCATGACGGTCATGCTGCAGAGATACGCAGAACCTACGCTACGCAGAATGGCCACGAACTCGGCGCTCACTGGTCCTGGTCCGCACGAAGCGACGACGGATCCGAAGCGACGGATCCGGGTGTAGTTGTCCCCACCGGTGGCCGAGGGCCGCGCTGTCAGGCAGTTGAGTCCTGCCAGACCTCCAGTACTGAAGTGAACTCTGAGGTGGAGGGAGAGGGAGCGGGGAGGGTGGAGGTCCCAGGAGGTCCCAGGACTGAAAGAAGGCATTTGCAATCGTATAAAAGTAAGATGAAATCTTGAGAACATGCATGCAGAACCCTTTATTGGGCAACCGGATGGATGATCCGACATGGATGGATGGGATGGATGGATGGATGGATGGATGGATGGATGGATGGATGGATGGATGGACGGACGGACGGACGGACGGATGGATGGATGGATAATGGCATCAGTGTTCAGGGGCTTTGTGGCGTTTGATACTTTGTTGATGCTTCATGGCTCATGGCATCCACACCAAACGGGGCAGCTGGCCCAGCCGACGCCTCACAGGAGGATGCAGAGGCCAGTGATGCAAGGGCCTCCCAACCTCCTACGCCACAAGATGTTGGAAGCCTGAGTGAGTCTGAGAGCGGATCCGGGGATGGAACTCAGTTGACTGGTTGAGGCCAAACATTGCAGGGCTCCACAAGTTTTAC